AAAATCAAATTATTAAAAATTAAAAAGAAAATTATTTTATGTAAATTAGACATTCACACAGATGCCTTCAACTTTTTACTACACAATAGGAGAAAAACGACGAGTAAATGAGTAACACTTAAATCTTGAACGCATGGACAATAAAAATTTTGATAACTATTTATATCTAGTAATTTATGCTTTAATATTTGTACATTGATAGTTCATAAGTTCACATTGAAGTAACTGATCTAATTTCAATTGAAGTAGAGGAAGGCGTCAGCCATCATCTTCCCTAGTCTAACTTGGCCAGGAGTGCTAAGGTGGACTGGGTCATCATTCAACAACTGTAGCCCCTTTGCATCAACTGTTATGACATTTGGAAGTTTGACGGCCAGTTGAGCTTCTCTTACGATATCAAAATATGCTCCTATGCCCGATGCCAATGCCACCTATACCATGACAATGAAAAAGTTTGAATCAAATTGTAAAAGAAACTTTTGTGAACAATATGATGTCACATTACCTGAATAATTGGAAGGTTCGGTAAAGATAAATTAGTGCGAACTGCATTGAAGAACTCTTCTATTCTTTTCTTGTACAATTCGGCATCCTCTTCTTTCTTTGTATCACTCTCACCTTGATACCATAAAAGCGCCCGAATTTCACCACCATCTTCCAATGCAGCCTTAGACCTCTTCATGAGTCTATCATAGAGAGGTGAGCCTTGTCTCCAATCGGATATAAAGGATCCGCCGAATGCACAAGGAACCAAACCAATCACCCCAATATTGGAATCCTTTTCCAATACATAATTGGCAAATGACATACCAGGTCCCACCCCACAGGTTTTATTGTTGTCTATATCTCGATGTAAGGGCTCACAAGCCACCTCCCACATAAGCTCAGCATTAAGCCGTAGGATTGAGGGTTGAGAACGGCATTCTGGTGGGATATATCCAGTCCAACTACCATTAATCACACCCCCTCGGCCAGACATATTGCTTTGTCCAGCTAGTAGAAAGATATTTTTATAGGCATAACTTTGGAAGGGAGTCCAAAGCATGACCATAATTAAGAGCACTCTATAATAGCCTAAGTTGGACAAACTCGTAAAATGCTGAAACTGTAATATAACAAAGAGAAGTAGTTGAATAAACAAACTATGATTGTCAATCATGTAATTAATGTGAATTGAACTCATGTGTGTGGCTTAATGTACACTACTAATGCAAGTTATTTTATGTGGTGGCTTAATGTACACTA